GGAGAAGAATATTTGTTGTTCAATTTACTTTAATTAGTTGGAAACATAGAAGAAAACAACTCTAGATACCAGAATACTAAATGGAAGATAACTTTACTTATTGGGAATTAGAATAAAAACAGCAGATGAAATGCCAAAGTTTTACGTAGTTAATTTATGATACATCATAGTACGTTTTCCGTTACATACTGTAGAACATTATACTTTACACACTGATTAAGAGCAATTTGTTCTGCAACTTGGGTTATTTTTGATAATATTCTGAATCCTGTATAGACTATATTTGCTGAATTAGAGAAATAGTTCAATACAGGTAATGCTAGAAGAAACGTGTAAGGATTTAGATTTAGTAAGGTGTGGTTATACAACAAATATCTTTCTCCAAATGCCCTAGAACAATTTGACTTAGAGTGGCTGTTATTTGTGGGCACATCATATTTTTAATTAAAAAAAAAATCACTAAGATAGTGTTTTAAATTCCTTGGTATTCCACAAAATTCCACAATTTCAAGCAGTGTAGAAGTATGTATTGTGGAAAGTACATTTCTTAAAACCCTTCCTTAACTTCTTCCCACTTTTAGGAATTTGGTATCTTATCAGCTATTTCCAATCAAAATCTTTTAAACTGAATTATTTGTACCCTCATCCCCCTTTATATTCTGTTTTCACACCATAAGTTTAAAATTGAGACATTATTATATAAATCATGTTAATATTTACCTGGGACTTACCTGGAAAGTTAAATTCTACTTTTTCCTCTTAAGGAGTTAATAAATTTTGTTTCTGCTAAGGTGTTTCAGTTTGTAGTAATAACTTAAACCAGGAAAGCTTGAATGCTGGAACCTGGGCTTCTGAGATATCTCCTGGTTTTGCTCTTCCTTGGATCAGTATTCATTTCCTGCTTGTCAGTGTCATCTCTGGCCTCAAGGAGTCTAGCAGTTTTGAGGATTTCCATGTAGGCCTAGTGTCTTTTGAGTCGTAGATACACACACTAGCCCTCATTCCTTGCATTTCTTATCCTAAAGCCCCTTTATCCTAGACTTGAAAGCACAAATAACATTATTTAAATTAATAAAACTAGTGTGAAAAATGTGATCATTATAAATTATTGGGTATTTACAGTTCATTTCAATCAGTGTGGTATATCTGAAAGAATATGAGTAAGTAGTGTTTTTCCTACTGTGTTTCACTTGGCTGTCATTAACATTCTTGTGATAGGAAAGGATGCCAATGAATATACATAACTCACCCTCCTTTCCTACTTTTTCCTTTTACAAATGGGGGAGGGGCAGTTGAAATAGGGGGTCCCTTTGTCCAAATTGGAGTGAGAGCAGTTACATGGAGAATAGCTTATTGGGGGTAGGGGGGAATAAGTTTAGAAACTTTCAAAATACTCTTTTTCTGTGTTATATCTTTTGTTTTCCTTGATGCCTCAGAAGGTACATATTGATTTCATATTAAGGAGATTTTCCCCTGTTGGTCATTTCACTTTGCACTTAAGTTATTTGTGTGTGTGAGTGTGTGTGTTGTGTGTGCGCGCGCGCGTGTGTGAGCATGCATGCACACACACGTCCAATTTAATCATAATAAAAAAAATCTGATGACTTACAGATAGTTTTCTTCTGGATCATTTCTTATATAATGTCACTTATATTCCACAAACAAAAACTTAATGGAGTTAACCATTTTGTTAGGTTGGAAACCTTATTTTTTAAATGTGGGTCTGACGTTGACTAAGTCAAAGCTAAAACAGCGGATGTATACCAAATAAATATTTAATCTTGTTTATTTTTATTATTCTCTAGTAATATCACTTTTCTGTATCTTCTGATTTATGCTTCTGTAAAGTTGGAGGTTCTAGTTCTATATAACACTTTGGAAACCTGAATGTAAAATTAAAAATAATTAAGTGTATTCCTTGCATTTTAATTAGCATAAGGAGATCTGTAACTCTTTAGGAATTGAGTGGTTAGGTAACCTGTTCTTTTCACTTAGGAAGTAAAAAGAAGCTCTTGCCCTCTAATCTGGATTTTATTCTTCTTGACCTTTAATTCTGTGATATAGAAGTTAATTCTATTTTTGGATCATCATCATGCACTGACCATGATCAGATAGCCAAATTATTGTATAGATATGTTACAACATGAAGGAGTAGTTTGTGAACTTTCTTGATTATCTTTTAAGTTTTCTGTTTTTGGTCAGGGCAATCAGAGGTAGGTATCTTTGATCACCTTGATAGATGAAGAAAACTGGATTCTCTGTGATCTTTTTGGCTCTCTCATATGCTTATATTTCTCATCTTCCTTTAATTTGCTACTTTTACTTTTCTACCTTACCTATGAAATAAAACCAATCAATGTAGTACATTTTTATCTATATGGAAACAATCCACATTTTTTCTTGGCCAATTTTGTATTAACATTATCTATTATGTAGGAGGTTCAGAGTTTTTCTAAGTTTGCTTTGTCAAGACATGATACTCCTCTGAGGACTTTAAAAAAAAAAAAAAAACCTGAAAAAACAACTGGATCTCCTGGAGTCATTTTCAAAGTCAGGAAAGGAAGTAGAGTTGGTAGACAATAGATGTTACGATGTTAATATGTGTTTTATTTACTGGCTGATTAGGTAAAAGGAAGTAAAGGGCAGAAGAAGGAAGAAGCACTGAAAGCCTTACTAACACTTCATAGGTACCCAGTAAATAAAAGTTGCTGTTGAAGATGATAGCCAAAGAGTAATTACACATGTCCAGAAACTAGGAAAGAGAATAGGTTGGTGAGAGAGGGAGAGAGGAGAGAGAAGAGGCAGACACCTACCCACACTTCCACACTCCCCCACACCCTATTCAGGGTAGACTGTGTATATATTTTAATTTGCTTCTCTCTTTTGCTTTTGTATCTTTTGTTTTCAGAAGTTTTATTATATCTAATATACATGGATTTCATGATGTTTCAGAGCATATTGAATGTCCTTAAAATGTTTCTAGATCTTGGACGATATGTTGTAAATTAATTTTTTTTAGAAATGAGAAATATTGTTTCAATTAAAATTTCATACTTAGTTAATTTTTATTAAAAGATAACATAAATATCCAAAGTTTTATAGCTAGTGAATACGATAGGACCAAGATTTATACCCAGGTCATCTGTCTCCTGAACTTGAACTCATAATTATATTTGGTTAAATTAGAGTTACTTTCCTAGAGGAACAAGATTTGAATGTCACATTAAGTTATTGGTCTTTTGTATTAAAAAGCAACAATAGCTCTCAGAGATACGACTTTTACTTTATTTTTTAAGAACTTAGGTAGCTCACGAGACAGGAAACTCCAAAATGAATATTCTTTGGCATGTTGAGGTTGTAACTACCAGTCTTTACATAGATTTTGTGTTTTTATTAGTTTGAAAAATACCTAGCACAATCTGAAATCTGTGAGGTTTTCAGATGTTGATATGTCATGTATTAATAGCAAATTGAAGTATTTTTGCTTAAGTGCATTACCAATAAAATGAACCAAGCAGTTTATATTGTAAAATATTTTGTGTTTTCTATGATTTATACTTTAATATTTTTTCACAATTCTACACCAACGTAACAGTTTTCCCAAAATGAAAAACTGTCTTTTCTGATTGTAGAATGATAGGTATTGTTAAAAAGCAAACAACTTTTGAGCAGCATAAAGAAATCAAAATCATCTGAATTCCTACCAGTTAGAGAGTAACAACTAGTTAACATTGGGGTAGACACACCTGGAGATACAAATTCTTTGTTTAACTTTGTATGTGAAAAGTATCTTCTGGTTAGTGATTTGCTTTTTTTTATGGTTACTTTTAATGAACAGAAATTGTTAATTTTAATACCAAATGTGTGAGGTAGGAATTCAGTTTCATTCTCTACCCCCTAAATATGGAACATTAGTTTTACAAGCATCATGAGTTTTAACATTGAATTTTCCCCTCACTTTTTGTTTGTTATAGATTGTTTGTCTGCTTATGGACTTTGTTTTGTTTCATTTATTAGTAAGTCTGCTTTTATGCAGGTACCACTCTAATTTATAGTGTTTTTTCTTTATATCTTAGTTAAAAAAAAGTCATCTCTTTAAAGTATTTCGGCTGTTCTTGGCCTTTTGTTCTATACAGATTTAGAACTGATTTATTAATTTGCTCTCTCAAATCCGTGATAAATTTTTGGAATTGCATTGAATTATTACATCATTTTTAGGGAGAATTAATATCTTTGTGATAATGAATTCAAAATTACTGAATATGGCATACTTCCCTTTTATTTGTTTTATTTTATGTCTTCCAATAAAATTTCATTGGAAGAAATTTTCATGGAAGTTTATATCTTTTGTTAGATCTATGACTTAGAACAGGGTTCATCACATTGTGGCCCATGGGCCAAATCTGAAAGCCACCTGTTTTTGTAATGTTCCATGAGCTGAGAATGCTAGCTAAGAATTTTATAAATTGTTGGAAAAAAATCAAAAGAAGAAGAATAATGAGATGTCACAATTATCTAAAATTGAAATTTTAGTGTCCATAAATAAAATTTTGTTGGTGCATAGTTATGGTTAATCATTTAAGTATATGACTGCTTTTGCACTACAAATGGAAGAATTCATTGTTTCAACAGAGATTGGATGTCCCACAAACCCTAAAATAGTTTACTATGTGGCCCCTTATAGAAAAAGTTTGTCCACCTCTGACTTAGAATTATTGTTTGTTTATGTATCTCATGTATCTTTGTGTGTTGGGGTGGAGTTGTGTTTCAGCCACCCTTTCTTTACCTTTATCTCCAGTTCTGATAAAACTTAAACTTGTAATGCGTCACCGTAACCAAAATGTGTTGCATTTTTTAGATTTGTGTGGGCAGAGAAAAAGGTTGAAAACTATTGATAGCATATTTTATGTAATAATCACTCCTGTATTTTGGTATTTTGCATTTGAGAATTTAATAAAATATAACTTAATTTGCCTATTTACTGATTTCCCCTTTCATAGGAAATTAAGAGAGAGACAGAATCCAAGGATGACAATTTGCCCATCAAACGGGAGAGGCATGGGAATGTAGCAAGTCTCGTACAACGAATAAGCACCTATGGACTTCCAGCTGGAGGAATTCAGCCACATCCACAAACTAAAAACATTAAGAAGAGTACGTAAATGATTCTTTTATGTTTAAGTCAAAATAGAAGGGTGTCTTGTAGCTGTTCATCAATTATTTTAAGGAAAATTAGTTCAGTCTTTGCAGTAGACTATACAAACTTCCTACTTATTTCCCGTTACCAGTTATTGGAAGGGCTGTTTATGACCTATTGTAAAATCCGTTTACCACTCTTTAGCTTAACTGAGCTTGTACAGAGACAAGTTTCTTCTTAAGTAAAGCCTAGACAGAGGGCTTGAAGGTTATTAGTATTTTATTTTGTCTCCTAATAGGAAAGGACACAGTAAATTTTATTTTCCTCAAGAACATGGGTCATAACTTTTTTTGTAAGAAAGAAAAAACATTATGTAGTTGTTGCCAGGAGGTTTAGGTTTTTTCCTAAGGATCCTTCATAACTTGTTTTTAAGTGCATGTGCTGGAAGGACAAAATTGGTCATTTGGTGCTGGCTAACATTTAAAACAGGATGCAGGTTGTTTTTGCTTTCAAATTGCTTTTCCAGGAAAAGCAAGCTTATGTTTTTTTTAATCTGATTTTTTTTGTTACTGTTAGTTTGCATCATATCCTTAATTCACAAAATAGACCAGTTCTTCAAAAGTGGTTCTTTGTAATGTTAAATAATAGTGGACTCTACTAACCAATACTGTTAATAAAATATATTTAAAAATACTTTAAAACCATTGTAAAGGTTCATGGTAAACACTGCAAAGTGAATGTTCAGTTTAAATCTGAGTGCCAAGACAAGTGAATCTGCATATGTCGAATTTTGTCTGAGCAACTAAAAAGGACAATTTCAGATGGATAGTATGATGTTGAATGTCTGGAAACTGTACTTCATAGTCTCCAAAGCCAAACAAGTGTTGGCTTTTTTGTGAAGTCTAGTCATGAAGCCATTGAAACTTGTGCTATTGCGTGTAAGCTAAGCGTGATAACTTCTTTGGTAAAACAAACAGGTATTCTAGAGGGAGCACAGAATAATGTTGATTGCTAATAATGTTGATTACACAGGACAAAATTGATTACTATAAGTTGCTAAAGTTACAGAAGAGAACAAATTTTTATTATACCAAAAGCAGTTATAGTTCTCACATTACTGGTAAGACCCTTGTAAATTCAGGCACAAAGATAATGGTGTGTAGGATACTTAGAGAGTAAATAATTGACGTCTTTCAGCATCACATCTCTATATAATATTCAGTGTGAAATATAAGTAGATATTTCACTTTATACTAGAAAAAAATGGATGCCAGATGTGAATCCACTTTTGGCATGTGTGAGAGAAGACTTCTGTGCTTGTAACTTTGTGTTTCTAATTTATTAGTGGAAACTCATGCTGCAGAAGTGATTTTCATCTAATTAATTATTTTGAATGTAAAAGATACATTGAGGCTGATAATGATAGATCACTAGTAGTTGTATCCAAAGAAACGACGTTGCTACATGAAAAATTACTTCACTGGAATGCCAATCAACAAACACAATGTTTCATTTCCAGAAAACAGTTGGTAGCAAATAGTATGTATGTCTCCTGATTTTGAGCCAGTGCTGAACAAAATAATGAAAATTTTGAAAACCATCAAAACATGGTCACCGACAATACATCTTTACCGCTCATATTTAAAAAAGGCATATTAGATCAGGCTCTGCTCTTTGACATATTAAAATATTCTAACTCATAAGGGGAAAAAGATCAAATGACTCCTCCCCAGCTGAGCCTCTTGAACGAATAGGTAGGGTGTTCTAACTTTATATTTTATTTTGAAAAATTTATAATCTTACAGAGAATTTGAAAGAATAGTTCTGCAATAAACATGATATTCCCTTCACCTAAGTTTGCGGTTAACATTTTGTCACATTAGCTTTATCTCTATATCTATATACATATACAAATACATTTTTTTCTACCGAATCAGTTGGCAGTACATTGTAGACATGATACTGCATCCCTAGTCATAAGAGTTTTTTTCCTTCATGATAGTGGTAATGATAACATTTTCTAAGATTTTGATTGTCTTAATCAAGTAGTGTGTCAGCAGTATAGCTAGAATCTTGAACAGCTTAAATCTTTCATTTAATAACCTAAGTATTAGGATTTTTTATTGCTGAGAGTAAGAATATTTAAAGATTCAACCATATATCAGATGGTTCAATCGCTGTGTTTCTTAATGTTTGATGATTTTCTTTGTTTACTGGAGAAAGAAATTGATAAAATAATTTTTTTTTGATGTTAGACAAATTTAAATGCTACACTAAATCTGAAGATACTTTTAAGAACCAATTGGAACTGAAAGTAGATCAGGAATTCTTTTGCTGCTATGTCTGAAATTTTGCATTCAGTATCCCGACTTGTGAATGTGGTATGCTCTTCATTTTACATTTGATGGAAAGATTAAAAACAGTAATCTTCAGTGCGAAATGGGTCCATACTTTTAAGAGCTCTGTTTGATCTGAATATTTAGATCTGTTTTTCAGAACCATGAAATACTTGCCATTCTTAATGACCTGAATTGGAAAATTTAGTATTTTTTTTGTTTTAGTAGGAAAACTAAAGAAAGTAACTTTACCGAGTATGAAATTTCACACAATTTGGTTTGTTTTTTAAAAAAATACAAAACATTTTTTAAAAGATTTTCTGAAAAATTTAAACATTTATGTGCTAAGTTCCTTAATACACGTGTGTATGAAGACCATGAGAACAGTGTTAGTGTGGGCAATCAAATCTGCCAGATAAAGCTGGGTATGGATAATGTTTCAAAACTTACAGTCTAATGGGAAAACATTCAATTACTATAAAATAAGAATAATAGTAATAATTATCACATAGAGTTTTAGAGGTATTAACATTTTCAGTATTATAGGAAGTATTTGATAAATGTTTAGAATAATTACAGTGTTTTATACTATTTAGAACCATGTTAGAGACATATAAGTGCAGTTATGATTTCAGTGAAGTGGTGGTAATGGGGACTGTTTAGATCTTTTTATCAATTTGGCTCTTTCCTTTGAAAAGTGAAAAATTTCTTTGTAAATAATTTTGCAAACCACTTTGGGAAAAAAAACCACTCAGTGGAGAATTATTTGAGGGAATAAAAGGCTTTTGGTTAAAATATAACTTGGTTGCTCAGAGTTAGTTGATATGCTTGGAGGCAGTGGGGCTAATTAATACTCTTTATTCACTTTAAATCATTTAAAAAATTGTTGATACTCATTGAAAGGCTAGTTACATTTTTTAAAGGCCTAAGATGATCAGAAAGATAGAAAGGATTTTCTTTGAAGTGCACTCTGAGCAGAATAGATTTTCTTTTCCAATAATATAATTTCTTCCTTGTTTATGAAGTGCTAATAACTACAGAGAACACATTTATGAACACATTTTCTCAAGGTCACTTAACTTAAAAAAATATATATTTAGGGACTGTACTTATCTCTGGTGTAAGAAATGAGACGTTTTCTTTGCAGTATGCATGAAACCACTATTCTTAAATTACTACTTAAAATTACTTAAAAATATTACTTAAAATTATTACTTAAAAATTTGAAAAATTTTACTGTAAACTCTAGGTTAGTTATAAAAGTATGGTTAGTGTTACATTTCTTTGGTTCCTCTTACTGTAAAACATTTAAAAAATCAGATATAATTATTCCTTTAGGAAAGGGAGAACTATTACTGGGGTGTAACTTTCTTATTTGAAGACTGTAGATTCTTCTGTTTACTGTGTAATGTCTTTTGTACAGCTGCCATGGTGTTGGTTACATGTAATGTGCTTTTTGTTGTTGTTTTTGGGGTTCAGTTGGATTTATTTTTTGTTTTGATTATTTTATAAATCTATAGAATGTCAGAGCTGAAATAGCTGCCTTCTCATGATGTGCCTGAAGTAGAACAGCTTTAGTTTTGTCATTTTTGCCTCCACCAATGTTTCAGGCTTAATTTGCTACACTTGTTCACATCTTTGGTGGTCCAGGGTATCCATACAGGTCTCTTCCAACATCACATTTTAAATGAATCAGTTTTTCCCCTCCTGTGAGCTTTCTTCACTGTCCAACTTTCACATATGTACATAGTATTTGGAAATACAGGGATGTGAATGATCTTAGCCTTGGTCTCGATCAACACATCTTTGCTTCTGATGATTTTCCTAATTCTTCCATTGCCGCCCTTCTGAGTCTCAGCCTTCTGTTGATTTCTTTAAGTAGCAAAAAGTAATCCTTTAATCAACTATACCTGATCATCTACCTATAGCTGCTTTAATGATTCACTTTTAAAGATGAGAGTCTGAGTTCTCAACTAGAGTTTGAAAGAAATTGAGAACTACAAGCCTGGATGGTTACACATAATCATTACTTGTTTGAATAAATGAAGCTTATTTGAAAAGATAAAGTAAAATTATTTTTAATTTTACGTATGTGAGTTTGATTTTTATCTGTCAGATAAAATAGAGCCGTTAAACAAGAGAAAAACATTTTAGATTTGTGCATTTTGCCTCTTTTTAACACAGGTACTCTTAGTGCATTTTAAATATTCCCAGACTTTGATCAGGAAGTAGTCTGGAAATCACTAGCTTGGAGGACTTGTCTGTGATAAATTTGTTGTGCCAACAGTATCTTTTATTGTCTTTGTTTCTAGTCTCAAAATTGGCAGTGGATATTTTGCTTTTGTGTAATTGGTGGGATCAGATGTATGAATAGATTTCATTGTCGGGAGCATTATAACTTAGTTGGTTTGAATTCATTTTGAGATTTCTAGATTGCACGTGGGCGCAAGGTGGAAAGCTAATCAGAACTGATTGTGGTTGGGTGCTTAGAATGCTTACATGTTCTGTTTTTATTCGTATGTATAAATCCTGTACAAAAAAACCAGTATTTAACTAAAGATGTTATTGTTTGTTTCAATGTTCTTTAAAAAAAATTTTTTTAATGATCTTTCTTAACCTAATTTTTTATTATGTTCTTTTAGAGCCCAAGAAGCGTCAGTGTAAAGTTCTCTTTGAGTACATTCCACAAAATGAGGATGAACTTGAGCTGAAAGTGGGAGATATTATTGATATTAATGAAGAGGTAAGGAAAATGTTTTAGAGATAAAGCAGCAATTACAGTAGATGCTCTAGGTGTTAAAAAAATGCACTGTAAGAATATTAATTTTTTGTTAAAATTTTTTTGCAAGTTAGTGTTTTTAATGAAAATTTTAAGACACAGACTTTAAAATAGATCTTTCCTGACTTAATGTCAGGTTGTCTTATCTGTAGAAATAAAACTTTACTCATTCTTGCTACACCTAATATTTGTGTACTGTGTTTGTGTCTCTTAACTTTAGGAAGAGAAAACTTCATTAAGTTAAAAATGTAATCTAAGTAGCTAAATCTATATAAAACTTTCGTTTGTTTCTGAAATCACTTTAGGCACAGTGCAATAAAATAGAAGGAATTTTACTTTTTGCATAGCAGAGGAATTTTACCTTCTACATAAAAAACAAAATCTTTAAAAAGCTTCGCAGTTTTTGAATTATTACTTTCAAATATTAACCAAAAACACTTTTCTCACATTTTAAAAATACTTTAAAAATAACTTTTCATATCTGCATTTACCATTAAAGGAATATTAAAGTTTTATTTGGCAGCTGAAGATCTCATTTTCAGTGTATATATTTTAATATTTTGTCACAGGGATTGATTTTTGTGTGTTAACATCATGTAATATCATTTATCGCCTATGTTTATGTTAAATTCTAATGTGTTTATACAAAAGGTTATTATATTTTATTTCTACCAGGTGGCAATAATAACAGTTAAATGTTTATCGAGTTTATATTATGTCTGAAGAAGTATGCTTGAGTGTTTGACATTTATTTCCTTTAAATTTCTGAACCCAGAGATAGGAATTCTTATCCTAATTTTACATATGAAGATTGAATCACGGAAGATAAACTTTGTGGCAGAGAACTGTTTTATTAAGTTCATGGGTGTGTGGCTCAAGAATTCACATAGGGAATAGGAGGGATGATTTGTCTCTGTTCTGTGATATGTGGGGGCCTAAGCTGGAAAGATTCAAGGTTGGGTGCTGGAGGAATCACGGGAAGCCTCCTTCACTGACTTGTCTGGTACGTCGAAGACTTGATTACAACTGCCTGTGGAGAGCCATTATGTAGCCTCTCCATTTGGCTTGGGGGGTAGCGATTTCAGGATAGTTGGACTTACTACGTCAGTTCAGTGCTCTTAAGTGTAAGCATTTTAGCAAACACGGAGGTAGCCTTTTGTAATTTAACCTTGGAAGTGATAGTGTCACTTTCACCACATTCTGTTGGTTACAAGCAAGTCATAAGCCAGCAGGATTGAAATGCATGGAGACAAAGACTGTCAAGATTACATTGTAGAGATGCGGGTTAGGAGGCTTGTTTTGCCATCTTTGCCCAAGTTCATATGCGTGGCATATAGAGGAGCTAGAATCTACATAGTCTGTTTTTGAAAAAGTGTTCTTTATTACCATACTACCCTGCCTCTTGAGAATTCCTAAATAGGAATTGTAGGGTTATTTACCCTAACTACCCTATTGCTGCTAATTTAGAATTCCAGGTGTAGATAACAGTTTGCTGATTTTCTCTCTATTTTGTCTGTTCCAGTTTGGTTTACATATCTCCATCGAACTCACACCTAGTTTGAAGAACTCCCAATCCTTTGCTGCTTCCTTAAGTCTGCTAAAAGTTCTGAACTTTTCACACTTACTGCCTTCTATTTCTCTCTCAAACAGCTTGTCTTCTGGCTGCCTCATATTTCAAGTATATATATTCCGTAAATAAGTTATTTTTATGTCACCATATTTTTCACATGCTTTGTATCTGGAAAATTCTTATTCAGCCTTTAATATCCAGCTCTTTTTGCCATTCCCTATCTTAGGGGGCAGCCTTTTTTGATTCTTTTATGCTCTTCTAATCCCTTCCTTTGTGCTCCTCCAGTGTTTTGTTTATACTTTTGTTATAGTACCTCTTACATTGTATTGTAACTATCTGCTTACTGTTTGTTTTCTTTAGATTGTTTTATTCAGGATTTTCTCATATGCAAATTTGAGTCTTTCTCTAGCAGTTAACACTATATGCTTGTACATGGTGCCTGTTGGATGAATAACTTATTAAAGTTTGTCATTGTGATGAGGTGAAAAAAATTAAAAAAATATTTTAAAAAGAAAAAAACAGCTTATCTAACTATGATATTAGATGTGCTGATAAGTTTTGATATTGAATAGTTTACTGTTCAAAAAATTGTTTTTACCTATTAAAACCTCTTAGAAACTGTAATTTTAAGTTATTAAATATTAAGTAACTTCATGAAAATTTAGTAACCTTGTTATTAGTGGATGTAAATATTTTTCTACAGAGTTTGGTTTCTGAAAATATTTCTGGTTGGGGTTGGGGGGAGTGTTTAGTGGAGCTTGGCATCTGGATTTTTAAAAATAAGTGATTCTTTTTCATGCTTGAGTGAAGACTCGCTGTTCAAGTAAAAGGCTTAGTAATTTTATGTCCTATTTAGAAAGTTATATTCTTATATTTATCGAACTATTTCTAAATCAAAAATTTACAAATAGTTAAATAATGTCATAATTACAAAGTGAGGCTCAGTAGTGTTTAAAAGAGTGACATTTCAGAAGAGAGCTATCTACCTTCTTGCTGTTAATACATTATTCTCGGATATCTGATACTTTCATGAAAATTACTTTATAGATTACAATTGATTACAAGTTCTCATTGTAAATATTGCAAAGTGCTATTGATAATGTGGCTAATCCCATAAATAATCTAATCCATTTAGATTTAATCTACTTAAATACATATTTTTTTCCCATTGTGTTTTCTCATAGATTTAAAGGGATTATTTTGCATCACTAACTTTGCGCTCATTCACTTTTGTAGCTTAATTTCTCCATAGGGGGAAGATTTTCATTTAAGAGAAATTTTTATTATTTTTGAGTTGTGAACTCTTTCAGGTAGAAGAAGGCTGGTGGAGTGGAACCCTGAACAGCAAGTTGGGACTGTTTCCCTCAAATTTTGTGAAAGAATTAGAGGTAACAGATGATGGTGAAACTCATGAAGTCCAGGAAGATTCAGGTAGACTATTTAAAAAATTTTAATAGATTTAAATAAACCTTATATATGATCTAGTGTTTATTTTGTATTTTTTGAAACTTATTCTTTCGAACTATGAGCTTCAGTTTATTTACTTTAAAAAAGTGGCTTATGACAGGGACTTAAAACTAAATATCTAGGCAAATAATTTAATGTATTTTTGTATCTGATGTCTACTTCAGCCTGAAGTAAGCCTTTAGTATCCTGATTATGAAATGATAATACTTATGTTATTTGATTTCTTCCACTTGAGATATGCTTATATACAATTTTGATCTGAGTTTGTAAATGTCCTATCTTTAGAAATTTTAGAAATTAAAAAAAAACTTCCTTTTCTTGTTTTCTATATTCACACAATAGATTGTTTTCAATGTACAGCCAGAATGTCATTTAATTATTTTAGACTCACCCACAAATTCATGTTAAATTTGCTCACCATTCAAAAGTATGATTGAGAAAATTTTGTCCCAAAGCTAGATTTAATTTTTTTAAGAATTGCTGTGGGATTTAAGAGAATTTTTTTAAAAAGAGAAATTCTGTAATGCAGAGATAAATAGCTCTTTTTCTTCATGGAGAAGTATAAGTACTTAGAATGTTATTTTTGTCGTTATTGAGTTGTAGGAATTCTTTATATAATATGGACATTAATCCCTTATCAGATATATGATGTGTAGGTATTGTCTCCCATTCTTTTTATTGTATCCTTTGATGTAGAAAAGTTTTTATGTTCAGGTAGTCTCATTGTCTATTTTTTGTTGTTGTTGCCTGTGCTTTTAGTGTCATATCTAAGAAATCATTGCCAAATCCAATGTAACAAAGCTTTTCTCCTGTTTTCTTCAAGGAATTTTATAATTTTGGGTTTTATGTTTAGGTTGTTAATTCATTTTGAATAAATTTTTGCGTATGGTTTAGGATAATGGTCCAACTTTATTCTTGTGCATGTGGATATCCAGTTTTCCTAGCAGCATTTGTTAAAGAAACTGTCCTTTCCCCATTGAGTGGCCTGACATCCTTGTTGAAGTTCATTTGACCAATCTATGCAGAGTTTTACCATGGCATCTACACATATTATACGTTTATATATTTTTTTCCTCTTCAGTAGGCTGTCAGCTGTTTATAGGCAGACTATTCCTTACTTTTGTTTCCTCACTACTTAGCATGGAGGTCCAAAAAATAATGAAGTCATAATGTGCTTATTTTTTATTCTAGAATTTTATGCTTTCTCTCATGTTACTTATGTGCCTTTTTATAGTGCCAGCATTTTGGAGAGGAATAGTGTAAATAAAACTTCATAATTTACATATGGAACAGGTAGTCTTCATACCAGTTGATTATGTCAACTGTTTCCTGGAGCGCAATGGAATGGTACTGGTTATTTCTAGGGAAAGTAGATGTATCTCTTATGATTGGTTAGCTTACTTGCGTAGATCACTGTGCTGTGAAAACAAAATTGAGGGCATGATCATTCAGCATTTGTTGGTTACTATTGTATTTCCAATCTGCATACCATCTTAATTATATAGAGCGTGTGAATATTGGTTTCTTATTTCTTGGTTCATAAACACCTTTGAGAAGCAGATGAATGCTATGCAGTCTCTGAAAAGTACACATATATCAATAAAATTTTACACATTACATGAGATTCATAGTTCATATGCACAAAATATATGCCACACATATATGACTAGGTAATACATACATTCTCATGGTTCAAAATCAGTATTTAAAAAGATGTATATTAGAATACTTGTCTCCATTCAGTTAGTCTTCTGCTCTATGTCAGAAAGCATTTGTACCTTCTCGTTTTCCTCCCAGTGTTTGTTTATGTAGGTACACACGAAAACATGTATTTCCTTTTTTTCATAAAAGGTAGCATAATATTTTGTTCAGGATATGTTGCAGTGAAAATCATAGTTACTTAAAACAACAACATAGTCACTTAGGGCTTAGACTGAAAGAGTCTCCTTTTTGACATGTGCTTGTAGAGGCAGGGAAAAGGGAGCATGGCTTTTAAAGCTTCTGCCCCAAATTGACATGTCACTTCCATTATTAACATATTGGACAGTCATGGCCTTGCCTAAGTGCAGCAGAATGGGGATATATAATTTTTCTGCAAAGAGGGGCACCAAATAGTTGTGAACAATAATACAGTCTATTATATTATTATCATGGGTCCCTTTTTAAGAATCCTTTATTTACAGTTTGGTAATATTTCAAAGGAGCTGAGGTGTATTTTTAACTCTCTACATGTGCTAAAAACTAATGAAAAGGAGATGAATTTTAAGGCTTTTTTGTATGAAATGGTGGTGGCCAGTAACAGTCTTCTGGATGGTCCAAGTTTTCATTTTTAAGTTGTCTTCCATTTCTAAGTGCAGAAACTTCCACTATATATTTTCTCTAACTTTTCAGTGAATTTTTAAAGATTCTAAAATTTTCTAAGGCTTTACTCTAAACTCTATGAATTAAAGAAACAAGTAATTGAATCCTTTACAAGCTTATCTTCTCTTTGGTCACTTTTCAATTTCTCTTTTGGAAGCATACCCTCATTTTTCAGAGAGAGAGAGAGATATATATATGGCACAATACTTGATGAATTTGGAAGCATAGTAAATATTAGTTCTTCTCTTACTATCTCATTTCTACTCCATTACCCTTTTCTTTCTTTTTATATCCTTGCTTTTAATGTGAAGTTAGCCATAAGTGAATAGTGACACAAAAATGTTGTGTTAAGTAGAGCAATTTTTATTACCAGGATTTGGGGTGGGGGAGAATTGGGATGCTGAAGTACATCTTCAAAGCAGATGCTGATTCCATTGAAAGAAAATCTTTGAGATAGGAATAGAGGAGTTATAACAAATAGTTTTACTATTTTATGTTAAACTTATTTGAGAATATTTGGTATCATTTCTGAAGAACTTATATTTTAAGAATGAACAAACAAAAATACCAAAAACATCTGGCTTAAATTTAATGGTACATATATTATGTAGCAAACTGTCCCCGGAATTACTTCTGATCTATTTTTGCATTTCTTACGTTTCCTAGGTATTGGATCCTCTGATACTTATTTTTAACATTAAGATTTGGCATTAATTAAAGCTTATGGTGAAATGATTTTTAGGATGCCGTGTAAACTGAGCCCTTAGAATATGTATAAAATTTAAAGTCCATGTGGGACCACTAGTAAAAGGAATAAAATTTAACTTTGGATGTAGTTCATTATTTTTATAATTATAAATACTTTGGGCATTTTCTTGCAGTGTTTAACCTTATTTGAGTTTTATTAACCTTGCAGAATTATATGTTAAAAATGTACTTCCTTGCTTGCTTAACCCTTTTACAATGAGTGCATTCTAAATGTGGAGCTTTGTGATTATGGAGTGGTAAGTCAGTGGTTTCACTACACTTTAATTCTTTTTTTTTTTTTTTTTAACTCTAATTTTTAGGCAGAAAGTTTTGCATAATGATTTGAATACCAGGAAATGAGTGCTTTATAAGGACTTTAGAACTTAATTGATAAAAGTATGTAGTCTTTTAAATTGTAAGAGTTTGCTCTTATGATTTAAAGAATTAATGTCCACTCTTCCTGTGTCCTAACAAAGTGTAGCATCTTCTGTCTGTAATTGATATTTTGACACTTTTTGGTTGGTAAAATACTGTGTGATTCTAATAGCTGTTAAAAGAATTTTAGTTGACTGTACATTATCAGATGTTACTTTTTACTTACAGGGATGCCATATCCATCACAATTTATTTTACATAGTTTCTCCTTATATTTCGTTATGTTTAGTAGAGCTCTTCTCTTCTTTTAATCAGTAAACTGAAATATATGGGATGATGATCTTGGTTTGACCAGTGAAACTCTAGCTATTACTGCTAAGAAGATAATTTTGCCCCTAGACAAAAAGATGGACAATAAGGCCTTGAGTCTTCATGGGTAATTGATTTTTATGCCCCTAGTTTTCATTGAAGAACTACAGAGTAAATGTTATAAGAAAGCCACTATTATATTTTTTCTAGGAATATGGTGAATTCATAATCTGTTATTCACTGGTTTCTATATAAAAGTTTAAATGTCTTTTAGAATGAAAGATAACTGTCTTTTAAAATCTCAAGTATCTTTTAATTTCAGGAAAAGCTTTACTTCTCTAGGGAAGGAAGTATTGTTTCCTTTTTTATAATGAAATGGCTTTTTTTGTCAAATATACTTTACCTTTTTTGTTTAGAGTGTCCTTTGTGTCACCTTTCAGATTCCACTTACTTGCTAAGTAGGACTTGACTTTCAATTTTCCCCGTTATTCTATAAAGCCAGTGACTATATCTGCTGGTATTTTTCTCCCTTGTTTAAGTCTTTACCTGACCTTAAGCCTTTTGTAATCGCCATTTAGAAGGCTAATAGGCATCTTAAACTTAAGATGGTCAAAATCGATCTGCCTTTCTCTCTGCACCCAAATCTCCTCTAATATAATTTTCCTTATCTAAGTTAGTGGCAACTCTACTCCTCTTTTACTTAGACCAAAGAATTAGATTAATCTTTTACTCTTCTTTTTAGTATCAGTCTATTCTTGATTCACTAGCAGATTTTGTCATCTACTAAATCTGTTTTCTTTTATCACCTCCACTGCTACTGCCCCTAGTGTTACCTTTTGCTGTATAATTCTAACAGCCTGTTATTTGCCATTACCTTCCTACTGAATGTTAAAGTGTTTACCCTCCAGTAGATACACATTTTACTTAGAGTAAAAGCTAATGGTTTTTAGTTGGCTACAAAGCCCTCCATGATCTGAGGGCACACTGCCATATACCGCCCCCCACCAATCTGACTTCGTCTCTTACTTAACTCTCACCTTTGTCCGCATTGGTCTCCTTAACTTTTTTTTTAAGATGTCAAGAACATTCCTGCCTCACAGCCTTTGTACTTGCTGTATACCTTTGGGAATGTTCTTTTTTGAGATCTTACTGTTTTTGGTCTGATTTCAGGA